CCTTATTTTATTTAACTATTTTGTCAATGGTAGATCCGGTTTTAGAACTTCAGACCTTTGGTCTGTTGATTATTTGTTGTTGTTATTTTGAAGCCACAAATTTAATAAATCTTGTTTAAAGAGCAGTTGCACTGATTTAGTACAAGTGAGGAGGCGTTAACTGCAGGAGTGAGGACAATAAAGACCTGCTATACATCAGGGGAGCTATCATCTTTTAAATCAGATTTGTTGTTAACCAAGCAGTAATGCAGAGCCATCACCTTACGGCTTTCTAAACTGAACAGAAGAGTGAGAGAAGAGAGTGACAGAAACATGTATAAGACAAAGGTTGCAACAAAAAATTACATGGGTCGAATTCATAAAATCCAAATTTATTTAGTTCCTTTTTTTACAGTTTTGGATACTTGAATAGTATAAGTATATGCTTTCAATTTACTGCTTTTTAAGCATTCCTTTATTTTCTTATTTGACTGACACACAGGTCAAATAAGTCTCTGTACATTCTCAATCCCTGTCTCTCTCCTATGGTCCCCAGAAATCCTTTTTTCCATTGGTTAAAATCACAGTGTTTAAAGTATTGGTAAAATATGGAACCTGGAGCTATAATTTTTTTCCTTTAAAAGGGAAGCATTTGCTACTACAGCTCAAATAAAGCTGTTGACCTGTTTTTTCCAATATTCATGTCAGATTTTGGCCTGTTAGAATGAAGAGACCCTAAGTAATGTATGAAAGAGAACTGTAAAGAGCATTTGTGTACATCTCTCCAGTGCCAGTCAACTTTGAGTAAACAAAATCAAGAAGTATGCACCACTGACAACTAGATAAAGGAATTTTTATTACAACAAGTGGTTCAAGCAGTTGCATGCTGCATGAGTGAAATGGCACATGAATTCAGTAATAAATATATTTTTAGATTTTCTGTTCTTAATTCAAAACAAAACAAACCTACTGCAAGTGTCAGATGCTTAAGGGACTGTGCCCCAAACCCGTATTTTCTGTCCTTGGAGAGAAGCTGCACAGCAGATGAAATGCTGGACCAGTGGAAGCTCTCTGTTTCAAGTGTCATTTAGCTACAGCATTCCCCTGTTATTTGTCAAGTAGATTTAAACTTCCAAATGCATGTTACACAGAATTCCAAGTAGTCTTCATGCAGTAAAGGTTACTACTTGGAAGTCTCTTTTGCACACAGCTGAATGGAAATGGTTTGGAGAGGCTTTTTTAACACTTTACAAAGGCACTGATTTTTTTCCTCGTGGAAAAAAATACCAGGATGTGGGATATGGGGCTTCTACTATTCGGAATGTGTTCTTTAGAAGAATGAAAGCAAAATGGTTGAACACCATCAGAGTAGTGTTTTTTACCTTTTCTACTTCTGCAGTCTTGGGCAGATAATTTTATTCAGTCGGATAAGGAAACGTATCTAGGTCACATAACTAATCAAAAACACTGGGTTTATGGTTGCAACCTTCACCTTTATAGCAGCTGTTGTGAATTCAGAGGAGGTTGGAAGACCCACAGATCAGCTTTCTACACTGGCTTTCAAGTAGTGGTTTCAAATCAAAGAGCAATTTTCTGACTGAATCATCATACTAGGCATGGGGATACCTGAGTTTTACGCCTTCAGGCAAGTTATAGCCTAATTTTCAGTTGTACATTTATTTAACTCCCGTTTATTTCAAATGGAGTTACAAGAGCACAGCACCCCTGAAACTTGTTTTTAAACCATTTGGGAATATCTTCCTTACAGATACATTGGAAAGCTACTTCAATGTCTGTAATACATTTTGAAATGCTTAATAAGAATGTTACACAAATGTAGTCATTACTAACAAGTGTCTCATTGAAACAGACCTGTTTTTTCTCATCTCAGTGCTTTACAGTTCCAGTTACCTTAAAAAAAGATCTCACAACAATTTAAAACTTAAGAGTTCTGTAGACAGGACAGAGCAAGAGACAGAAAATGCATGTGATGAATTCTCATGGTCTGCCACCTCACTGCTTTTTGGATGGAAGATGAAGGGTGGAAGATCGTGTGCAAAAGGTGAAACGCAAGCAGTGGCAGAAGCAGGACCTGACAATCATACAGGTTCCATATACTTTAGAAGATCTCTATTGAAAAGGTGAGAAAATAGGAAAGTTAGCCTCACTTCTGATAATATTAAGAAGCCAGACAGAGATGAGAACTCAGTGAGTTTGCAGACTGGTCAAGGAAGTAGATAGCAAAATCAAAGTCTTGATTCTTTGTGATGGATTGCATTGTGTAATAGAGGTCTCATAATTTTTTGGTTTATGGGTGTAGATGGGTTTATTTGTGCCACATGGTATTTGTGTTTAGGAAAATTACATCATGTATAAGTAAGAGAAGAAACAGCAGTAGCTGGACAGACCAGTGGGATTTGCGTGAGCCTGTACATCAGTGTTTGGAGATGGGTGCCGAACAAAGGGTTGATTTTCAAATATGATTTATTGAGAAACTTCAAATGTATTAAAGGACAGTGAGGCTAAAACATTCCAATAAATATATCAAATGCAATAGTTAAATCCATCAAATCCATGTAAAGAGAAGTTAATAAAAGTGATGAACACTCAGCAAACAAGTACCTACTGGTTGCCTAATGAAGGTGATCTTGAATCAAACCAGCTTTTACTGGAAACCTCAAGAATATTACAAATGACACTTCATACTATACTAATTAGACCAAGGTCATTTGTAAACCTGTTCAACAAAGGGTGAGCACATGCACCAGGCTGGTAAATTAAGCAAAAGGATGGAGTAAAAGTAGAACTGCTCTTTTTCCTTTTGCTACCTTTTTCTGCATGAAAACTGCAGATTATTTTTGCATCCTCCCATTGCTAGTTTAATCCAGCCCACTTTGCAGGATTTGATTGACAGGAGGAAAACATACTTCTAAATTATTTGGCCTCTGTATTTTTTTTTTTCCCAGTTGTCTCTTCTTGCTGATTTGCAAAGTCTCAGTTGACTGGGTGACTGGGTTATGAGCTGTTTGTCCAGCAGGGCCTTTGTTCTGGTCTGTGCTCCAGCAAAAACTGGAAAAACCTGTTCACATGCTCTTTTTTTTTTTTTTGGATCTTCCTCTCCCATTGGCAGTTGTAGCATGTACACATGCAAACAAGGTGGTGCCTTCCTTTCATGTGGAAAGCTGCCTTACAAAAACTGAGGAGGGGTTTTCCATTATCCCAGAGCTTTTCTAGCCTCATGAAGGCTTTGGTGAAGGCTCCAGGAGTTAAACTCTCTTTGTTTTCCACAAAAAGTGCTTAGGTTGTCATTTCCTTTTTCTTCAAGTAAGGAGAGGGTGTTTGAGTGTGGCTCCAGCCCAGCTTTTTAAATAATGTTTTGTAGACTCTGGGAGATCCACGAAAGCTAGCCTTATTGTGCAGTGTAGCTTTTTGGATGCAGAAGTTTGTTTGCTTTACAGCAGCTGTGCACGGTGTGGTGTTAACATCTGTAAGACGGGACAAACACTTAAGACACGAAGTTAAGTGCAAGAAGTGGACAAGTTGAGAAGAAGCTTTTCTTTCCATCTCCTTCCTTTTCCTCTTGCTTTGTGCTGCTGTTGGAACCAGAATGGGTCAACTGTGTGGACGATGCATGCAGCTGCTGCAGGACTTCATTGCCTTTGTTCAGAGGATGTCCTCCGACCTGGTACGCGGCATCAAGGAATGCTTAACCCTGATAAGCAAATGCTTCTGCTTAAAACAAAACAGCTCTAAAGCCAGGCAGTTGTACAAACCCATCCTGCACCCTCATGAGAGGGTGACAGCACAGGAGTTTCTGCAGCATATTGAAACAGGTAAGAGGGCTTATTTTTTCCAAAAGGGCTGTGAAAAAACAAGGAGATTCACTTTGTGGGTTGAAAAGAGATTGCTGACTGAACTGCTTTGGCATGGCACATAGCAGCTTGGTGATGATATAGGAAAGGCCAGAGCTATAGAGCGTTTTCTTTGTGTACAGGACACCAAGGGCTCAAGTGGTGTAACAGTCGAATCTAGGTAGAAATGGTCAGTCACTTTCTTGCTCTGCCACCACTGTTAATACTTAACCCAGGTAAATATGTTTCACAAAAGTGAGTCCTTCTAGTACCTGAAGTTAACTTTTGAAGTCAGGCACTGAAGTCACAAGGCTGGAAACAAGCTGTACCAACACTGGACGTTACATGAGTGCCAAGCTGTGAGCAGGCAAATCGTGGTGTGGTCCTGGCTCAGTTGTACACATCCCTGTCTGCTGGCTGCAGAACACCTGGACTTGCACTGGGGGTGTCTGCGATGTATGCATGGGAAAGGTCACAGTTGCCCTGGGACAAGCACCGTTGGGCTCACAGAATTCCAAGCAACTGGTCTGCCTAAGTGCTTTTGTGCAAACATTTTAAACACAAGGCTTGAACACAATCATGGGATTCTGCTTGAATCAAAAGTAGATCCATAACTCTTCATGTATCTCCCCTGCTTTTTAGGCTACCTGCCTAATTCCTCTGTAGATCCTTTTGTGATGTCCTCTCTATCCTGTCTTAGGATACAATAATATCAATAGGAAAACTCTTTATATTTCACTCCTGCAGGCAGAGAGTATCACCTTGGATTAGTGTGCTTTGTCAGTTGTCCAACCTAAAAACATTCCTTGTCTCAAGCTTAGGTGGGGCCACTGCTTGTTTGGTTTTGCTTTGTCTCACAGCTCATTGGGTATATTGCTTTAACAACCCTAGGTTAAAGCTACTACACAAAATTGCATAGCCTTCTACTTTCATTTGTGTGAAGGGTGTGGAACACAAACTACTATTTCTTCACTTGCTTTTCCAGGGACATAAAACCATCTTGTGAGGGGGACCAGAAGAGACAATTTTCCTTGGTGTGACAGTTAATGCTGTTTGAAATGATCTGTCATGGAAAAACCTTTGGAATAATTGCTGTGACACTAGTTGTTTGAAACATGCGTGCATTAGCCTCAGCTGGTGTTAGCTGGTGTCATTACCCTATGAATGTGGGGGGGTCTTGTGCTGCTGATACAGTTCACTAATTGTTGCACATTAAGCACTGTCTAAATCCTAAAATCCATATCCAGATCTTTCATCTTAATGGACAGTGGAGATCTTCCAGGGCTGAACTTTTCTTCTAAAGACTAGATTACTCCTGACTGTATACTCCTGTATACTCCTGGCAGTATCTCAGATCAGTTGATGGATCAGGAGCAATGAAGGGGTCGTCTGGAAAAAAATGAATTGAGGCCAGAATGACCCTTTGCAGCACTCTCTGGTGCTTTCTGAAAAGATTAAGTGTATTTTTTCTTGAGAAATCCTTTCTTCTCTGAGATGGGTCTTGAAAAGGCTGCTTTGTGTTGGATACTCAGGAACTGGGGTACAGCAACAGGAGCATAGAGCTTCTGTGACAGCAGTACACTGATGGCAGCTTGTGCTCTTAGGGATATTCCAATGTCCATGATACAACATACGCAGCACCCAGGAAGAACCACCAACGTTAATTCTCTGAGTGTCCAAAATTTGCTGCCAGGAGAGATGGACGCAGGGAAGCTTCACAAGGAGAAACAAGACACTTGCCTCTTACCTTGGCACTCAAATGTGTAGTTTATTCTGAGGTGGCTCAAAGCCAGCCTCAATTCTGGACAAATTCTAATAAGCAGGGAGCCAACATTTGGACAACTGGGGTGCAAGGATAGATTTCATGGTTGATCATCATGCTCAGCTGTTAGCTAGGGCAGCAAATACTTGATATTATAGCATAATATATATATTACCTCTCTTCCAAACAAAAATGCAGATACAGATAGCATAGAGGGAGATACAGATAGTCGGTAAGTAAGGAACAGAATTAAACCACATGAAGAGATTTGGTTGGTTTGTTTTTTTCTAAAACCTTTTGCACACTGGCTAGTCCTTTCCTCTGTGTGTATTGTTAATTATTAAACAAAATTGACCTCTATATGAAGCAGTTCTTCTGTGAAGCCCACTTACCTAATCCTGAAAGTAGGAGTTTGCTACTCTTGACATGTCAGCAGCTTTTAATGGCTTGAGATATTGGCTGAATTTTGCAGTGAAGCCTGAAAGCTCACACCCCTCACATCCCTCTTATCTCTTTATCCCATGAGAGGTAAAGTAGCTAGATCTTGTTCACAGAGATATTTCAATCTTTAATGCACTGCTTTAATCTATTGTCTGAAAATACATCTTGCAATTGTGTGCTCCACCAGTCAATTTATACTTCATTACTTTTCAAACACTTTATGCTATTGAGCAGTGGTTCAATGGCCCATATTTTTTCCACACATTATAGGGACATTATATAGTGACTTACAGAAGTCGTGCATGACTGCTGTTGCTTGATGGCTGTTGCTGAACATCTGGTTTATTCATAGGGGAACTATCATACTCAAGAACAGGTAGGCTCATGCTACAGATCTGAGCCTGAGGCAAGCCCATTTGCAAACCGGGTTGCTATTTCCTGAAATCCTTTATTGTAATACCCAGGACAGGAAACGTGGTGAACTTAAAATGTAGTAAATTAGAAATATATACATCATGTTCAGTAAATATATTTTAACAAAGATCTTTTGTGATTCAGGAAACGATAAAAATTTTTATGGTGAACAAGAACACCTGCATTTATACTGTATAGCTTAAAAGTGTCTAAAGGTTATAATTTATCTTGCTTCCAATCACTAGCTTTGTGAGCTTCACAAGAGGCATTGGCAAGGACAGGTTATTCCAGGTTCATTTACTGCTTCTGCTCATTGAAACATGAATAAAGATAGATGGGCTCTATGGAGTTGTTGCAGTGCAAAAATCCTTGTGTGTTTGGTTGGCTGTAAATTTTAACTTCTTTTGGCAAACTAACCATTTTCAGATGTTATTGAGTCTGTGCTGTCATTGTACATCTTTAGGTTTTGAAATGTCACCACTTGGAAAGGACCCTCTGGAAGCCTTGAGGACCTTAGCCTTTTCAGAAAACCCAGGTTTACAGCAGTCTGCTGCCCTCTATTACTTGCATATGAGTCAGCACAGTAAGTTATCTCAGTGCCTTAGAAAATTTTCACATAATTATGAACTGGTGCTAGTACTAGTTGGAAAAGTACTATTTCCAACTGTGAAACTCCCTTTGATTCATTAATCAAATTTATTTTTGTTTTTTCTTTCATACTATGTTGTTTGCTAAGAAAAATGGAAATGCTGTCATTGCCATGTGGGCAGAATCATTCTGGGTTTTGCTATGAGAAGGTATCTTTCATGATTATAAAAGACTGACATTTATGTAATTGTAACACTTCTGTAAAACTCAACAGAACCCAAAGTAGTTACGAGTCAGTGTATACTGAATCTCCTGAGAACAGCACAGTCAAAATACAGTGCAAAGAAATGGACATAATGGATCATGTATAGTTTTGTATAATTTTTTGAAGAGGACAAAGCTGTAGAGGCCAGATTGTAGTGGAAATTTATGAAGCAGGTGTTCTTTGTCCCAGCTATTGCAAGGCAGCACTGAGGTAATTTGTAAACAATTGAAAGTCAGCCTAGATATGCCAAACAAAATTCCAGCAAGATTTTGGGTCCTACAGAAAGGTAAAAATCCCAGCAACAAGCAGGCTGTGATTTACTTATTTATTTATTTTCTGTTTCTTTTTTATTATTATTATTTTTTATTCTGTCCATGTATTTTTATTATTATTTTTGTTTATTTTGATTTACATTTACTTCAAGGGGAATATTCTGACACTTGGCTTGATAGCTTTATACCATGGGGTTTTTGCTGGATAAGAAGTGCAGATAGCCACCACATGAGGAGCTGCTGTGGGGTGGAATGACTTGTTTGGTAGCAAGGCATATTGCTTCCCTTCCTGTAATGTTTTTGAAGTACTTGATTATTCAAATCCTTTTCAGGAAACTTGCCCTGTTTTGCTAGTAGCAATGGATTTAAATGAAGTGGAATACCTCTCAGCCTCTATATGGGAGCACCTGAGGCTTAAAACCAACAAGAGAAAAATGTGACTGCAGTGAACAATGAGATTTCTGACTATTTCCTCTCATTCCTGCAGTGAACATCTCCCTGCCTGTGGAGCATCTGGAACCCTTCTATGCCTTACTACGGTCTGCTGACCTGGAGGTGCAGCAGATGTCTTCTTTGTCCCTTGTAAACTTCTTGCTAGAAGGAAATAGTAAGTAATTAACACATTCTCTCTTCAGGTGAAAAAGCATCTCTACAGTCAGTGAGGCAGAAGGAGGGCGCATCTACACACCCAGGTCTACACAAATCCAGATTCCTTTTTCTGTGGTCCTGATAGGAGAGATGTGAGTCTCTTTCTATCTGCAAACCACATAGATTCTAGTGGCACCAGGATATACCACATCCCTCCAACTAGATTAGATCATGTGGCAAGAGATCTATGTGGAAAGGCTGATAAATTATTCCCAAAGTTGTGGGAACACCTATATAATTTTCATTCTTGGATCAAGAGCCCACCACTTACCCTTTCAAGCCACAGAAACAGCTCTTATAAATACATCCTGCCTACGAGACAGTGCCTATTTTCTTCTTATTTATTAACTGGACCTTGGTCTTAAATTGCTTGCAGATTAAAAAAAAAAACAATTAAAAAATCGTGTTATAGAAGTCACCATCTTCTGTAGCTAATAGGGCAAATGTAATTGATACTGGATCTGGGAGCTGCAGATGAAAAACTTCCCAGTAAAGTTCGTACTGATAGACAGGGTATGAACACCCCACACCATGTCAATGGAGTCCTTGTTGCATCTACCATTGTGCTCCCTGGCACCTGGGCCACAACAGGTATGCCATTACACTAGCCCATAACTGCAGAAGACAGGGTCGGTCTTCAAAAAAGCTAGCTTTTGTTTGTTTGTTTGTTTTAAAGAATCTTGCTGCAAATACCATGCCACTAATTACAAGTAAAAATTAGTGCTGCAGTTGCACTTTTCAGAATGAACCTTATTTTTGAAACCAGAATTGCTAGCAGAAAAGTTTGGGATTTTCTGAAATAGAACCACTTGCACTCTTTCATGAGTCTGAAGAGGAATCAAGCAAACCAAGCTAGGGACTGTGAGTGCCTTTCAATTTTTTTCCATCTTTGGCCTATGTTGCATAATCATAGTATAGACCCCCAAAGCCACCAAAGGGAAATATATTATCTTCACAAAGGCATTAACTGTTTATATTTATTGTTTGTCCATTTTTTCTTGAATTTATGAATAGTTGACAAAGAATTAGTTGTCCAAATGGGTTTACTTGAGCCAATTCTGGATCTGCTTGAGTCAGAGGATGCCACTGTCCAGTGTAATTCCTGTGCCTGCACCATGACTTTGGCTGTTTCAGGTGAGTGTGCCATGCTTTCCCTTTATCCTCTGCAGTGATTTCATTCAACTCTTACCTCATATTTCAATGTGAAACAACCTATTTGTGATTGGTGTAAGAGTCATAAGATGCAGCAACAAATTTTGGTATTCCCACATCATAAATTCAACCTCTTGAGATTCCAGTTAAGATCTTTTTTATCAGTCTTTCTGACCTTCACTCTCTTATGATTACAAACCTTTTTCTGATTTCCAACCTAAGTATATTCATGATCAGCTTATTTTATTTACCATCTGCATTGGCTTTTGCTTCAGCAGTTCTGCCTTTCTGATGTCTATGCTGATGAGGCTCCTTCATTTTACTAGACTGAAATTTAAGGCTCCTCCTGTAAGTGAGGCTCTCCGTTCATCTTCATAGTCCTTCTGGGTGTCAATTGTATATTCCAGAAAAAGAACATAGAATTGCATCTGCTGTTTTGTGATACCACAGACCTCAGGCATTATTACAGTCCTAAGATGTACTCAAATGCTGCAGAAGTTCCACTTTTAACTTACGTCTTCTGAAAGAGAGGTCACCAGAAATGTGCAGTATTTCAGCTCGGGTCTTACCTGTATCTTCTATTGTGGCATCCAGGGAAATATGTTTTATGGTATGTCTCTTGATAACACTTGCTTTTCTTGTGATTGCATCACAGTGATATTGTCATGCTGCAGCTCTGAGTCAGCTTAGTTTTTCTCCTCTGCTGCTGTTTCCAGCAGACACCAATTAATTAAGGGTCTGCAACAAATGTTTCCAAGTACACTTGCCTGCATTTTGTACTGTAAGGTTTAATTCTGGTTTTGTTGCTTCAGTCTTTTAACTTGTCTGTTATTTGCAAAATATTCTGGTCATCCACTGCATTGACAGTGCTGTGCTCACACCTTTGTTTTAACTTTCTGGTTCAAAGCCAACTACAGACCAGTCCTTGTAGAATTCCATATATAGCATCCTTTCAGGCTATATGTGGAATTTCCATTTAGCAAAACTTGCTGCCATCTTGCTTTTAGTCAGTTCCTTGTCCACCATGTACTACTTGCATTTGTCACATACTTCTCTTACTTAACTATGCATATTTCATATCATGGTATAGATATTTTCCTGGCATCCAGACAGATAAGCCACAGTTACCAAAAGAAAGGTTATCAGGTCAGTCTGGCTTATTCTACCTTTTGAAAACTGTATAATTCTACTGTACAGATTGTGTAAAGGCATGTATGACAACCATGAATAACATTTCTTTCCCTTCATATAGTGCTTGTTCCACCAGCTTCCCTCTCCAGCCTGGGAAGTTGCAAAGGGGAGTGGATAAGCAGGATCCAACCATATGATAGTGCTGATCTGCATTTTATTCCATTTTATTTTTGTATTATTTTTTGCCATTTTTTAAACACTTTTCCCTTTGCAACTTACTTTTAAGCATTGCATATTATTACAGTCAGGTTAAGAACTCTGTATACTACATTACTTTGTGTGGACTGCAGATTGCTTCATTGAAATGGCTAAATTAGATGTGGCATCACTAAAGTTTTAGGTACCTGGCACTAGAAGGACTTTATGTATGGTCAGTGAAGTTATCCTGAAGATCTGCAGAGAGATATCGCTTCATCTGTTTTAGGCAGCCCACAGAGAAAGCAACGTGTTTGGGGACCTAAGGACAATCCTTAGTCCTGAAAACACTACCACCCTTCTAGATGTCTCAGTCTTTAACGCAGAGTACAGGGAACCCTCAGCCACTCCAGATTCAGTCCAGCTTCATTCTCTGGATAGGATGTTCACCTAATGCCTTTGCACACTCTCTTAAGTGCCAGTGTACTTCTGTGCACAAGTAGTTCAAATTAAGCACTCAAGGAGCTTTCAAACTAGATAGGAAGGCATCTGCTGGACATAGAATAGAGGTAGGTGATCCTGTAAGTGCATAGGCTGGGTTACTGCCTGGGATTGGATCAGTGTTGAGGATTTCTGTCCCAGTTTAGGATTTAGATGGACTAGATCCATTTATATCTTTTTCAGACTATATTTAGGTACCACAGCAATGAGACTAAAACAAGAGACAATTCTCTAGAGTTCATTTTAACTCCAGGCTCTGGTATCCTAAAGGGTCTGCTTGAGAAAAATGTCCAGTTCAGTCATGTCCTTTAAGTAAGCCATTCATGCTTCAGAGTGGTTTAACCAAATCAGGTAGATCCTTAGGTAGCTTTAAGGTGATTAAAACTCTAAATCCAAGAAGGTAATGTGTCTTAATTCTGCTGCAGTGAGCATGCAAGACTGTGTACAGAGTGAAGCTGTTTAGTAATGTGACTGCAAATTTTACGTAAGCTGGGTTGTCTGGTACTTACCTGCTGCAGTAGGTAGCTAAAAATAAAAGCAGCAAACAAACCTATTCAGATGAACAGGATTTGAAGGACAGTTTGTTCCAACACTAGCGTTTATCCACACAGCAAAAGGACACAGGCACATTTGCAATTATCTGCATCTTTTCAGTCTTCTGAGTAAAAGTAATCAGTTCTGGGGTAAGAATTATTCTCAGACTATATAGGAACAGAACTAAACATTCACAGCAAGGGCTTAGGGAGGCCTGAACATCTGCATTAAGCTAAACAGGTAGGATGCACTGAGTGTAGAACACATTCAAAGTTGTACCAACAAGAGAATTTTCAAGCACACAAGTGGGAGAGAATGGAAAGAAATAATTTATAAACACAGGTTTCAAGGTGAGTTATTCAAACCCAACTTGAGTAGATGTTACTGATTTCCCCACTTCAGAGTAGCATCTGAATATGTGGTTCCCTTCTAAAAACACTTTCCTGAGCATAAAAAATTCATATGAAGGCAGAAAAGACTTGTCCTGGACTAAACTAACACTGGCTGAAGTATACTTGAATGAATATCCTGGGTTATCCATGTATGTCAGTTCCCCATTATAATAGACTCCACATATAAAAATAATGACTTTTTTCTCTTAACTCTCTAAGTTAGTTGGCACCTGAAAAGTTGAGCTCATCCATTCATATTTCCTGCTTTTTTCTGCTTCATGTTTCTCTCAGCAAACTTCCAGAGACTGGCCATTGTTTAACTGTCTAGAAATGTACAAAAATGAAGCAATGCTCAACTAAAGTTCCTGTGGTCTTCAGTGGCAGTTTGGCTTATCTAAACAACGGAAGCTGTAGACCATGGACTTTGCTTTTTCCTTTCATAAAATAATCTGCAGAATACCATGATATTAAAAGAACTCTTCATTGGTCTAATTCCCATTTAAATCACAGAGACTTCAAAGAACACCACTGCCAACACCACCTTATTTTTTCAAAACTGTGCCATTATTTTTTCAAAACTGTGCCATTATTTTTTCAAAACTGTGCTTGTAAGATACAAATACAGATATTCTACAGATTATAAATAAGACAATAAAGAGGAGAGGACCATAGCAGTGTCAGTGTGGCAGCAGGTTATTTTTTGCAAATGTTTTGATGTCCTCACGGTAGAGGGGCAGGGAAGAGCATTACAGAAAGATTTTCTTCTATGCAGCACAGCTGAGGCTACCTTCAGTACCTTTCAAAACAAAAGGAGTAAAACTAAAAGGAGTTTTTTTTCCTAAATCATATTATATCTCATAGCATAGTATAACTTTATCATATGTAGTATACTTGTATACATGGTATATAAGTTATATAATATTTTATAATATATAGTTCATTTTATA